TTCATTGGTACAATCATTATCACTACTCGAGAACGTCTTTATCACACTTAAGAGATTATCAACCTTCTCTCGTGATCTATAGATAATATATTTATTAGTATATGTTTATTATTTTTATGTACATGGTTTATCTTGATTCGTACGTGTTTTTTGTTTTTCTTCACGTATGTTCTTTTTAGCACCATTAAAAATTAATTTAGAATTGTCTTGTCAAACAAAGTTGTCGAGGAAAAAATTTCTCGTATATTATAACACGATAACAGTTATCCACAAATTTCTGTGGTAAGACGATAATGTCAATAATGACTTATTGAACATAATATGATCAGAAATAGTTATCTCATCGCACGATAAGGTAACGTTAATCAATAATCATTATACATTTGGTGACTTATTAACCACTGCTGTCAATTGTTCTAAGATGAAATATCTTGATTGTGGTTCTTTAACTTATGTTCACTATATCAAGTTATTACCCAACAGACGAAGTTCGTAATAACTTGATATAATGACGATGACCTAACACTAACCAAGCCTTCTTTTGGGATTTTTTAAAAGTTAAAAATAGAATAATGCTTAAAGAATAGATCTCTAGGTGTGGTGGAGCCTTTATTCTTAACAATACATGAACTAAACTATTCATTCAACAACATTACATATTATACAGGTGAAATATTGACTCTTTTAAAGAGGCAGATTCACAAACCGTTTCTCTTATCATACTTTAATCTCAAAAACTGCAATTCTTTTTTTATTATCTAAGCCAATCATTAATAGTGTTCAGAGCTCGCAGTCGAATTTGAGCCTTCAAATCCACGCGTGTACAGAATTATCCGCTTTTGAAAGTTAAAATGACGACTCGTGTATTCTTTATTAAGAGTCCACAATATATATAAAAGACATCATATAGAAATTAAAATTCTTAGTTTGAGGTATATTTGAAGGGTTTGTGCAATTTTCGTGCAGTTCTAGAAGTTCTGAAGATTATTAACATATATTCAAGACCCTTACCAATCACCGAAAATGGCGACCCGATGCCCTTTAAAGTCACTCTGTCTAAGCTTTATTTTATTTTTGACCGGATAAAATGATTTGTAAAAATTCTCTCATGTCGCTGTCCTGGTAAACTTTGCCTCACTCTACACTGCATGGTGTTGTCAGTCTTCATTGGTCCAGAAGGTAATGAAAAGTAGAAAGTTAATCTTCCTCCATTTTATTTAATGTTCAAGGTCGTTTTATAGATAACTGACTGATAAGTTTACAGATATATGTATTTTCAATAATTGAACTAAATATAGAAAATATCAATTATGATTGCATTATTGAGTTATTTGGCAACAGGGAAATGTTTTTAAATTTAATCCTAGCCTAGTAGCCTATAGTAGGAAGTCAACTCGGGTTCAATATACAGAGGTACACCGCGTAAAACCCCTCTCCCTATCTCTCTAGCCTGTAGCCAGACTTGATCGTACGGAGGGGCGAGTAATATATCTGGAGGGGCAAAAGAGTGTGTAAATTAATGCTATCAATATCCCCTATACATAAAAGGTTTAGAAAAACCTCTTTACAATCGCTTTAAGACGAATCAAACCAACCGTCAAATATCACAGGAGGAAGTGAATAGTATCGAAGTTTTATATATTTCCCATTTTGTTCATTATTCGTCTGTTCAACATATATCATATACAGAATATACAGGTATAAACATTATCATTAGTCTATTTCAGTTCGATGACGTCATAATACATATATTTGAATTTAAACGTTGATATTTCAATTTTAATATACATGTATTTACAGATTTGAAAGTTGTTTTAACGAAAGTGAACAACTGAAGAGGTTCGATGCAATCAGTTTTATGATATAGCAGACGATAGTGTATCTAGGGGAAATTTATGAGCGGGCAATGTTGAGTGTAACTGTGACACGGCATGGACTGTTTAATTGTGTTGGATTATATTATAGTTTAATAGCGTAACTAAACGTGTTTTAAAGGAAACCTGTCAAATATAACAGTTACCGAACATTCTTCAAGCTGTAGGTACCTTTACAGTTACATGAGACAATGTTCACTGAATTTACAGTAAAAAACCGTGATAGATGCATTTTATTACTGTTTTATTTAGTAATAGAATAGTGTGACCTGACAACCACAAAACGAAGTGAAAAATTTGAGTGTCGTTGCTGTTATTAAACGTAGTGTAAAGTTGAGTGTCGTTGCTGTTACTAAACGTAGTGTAAAGTTTAGTGTCGTTGCTGTTACTAAACGTAGTGAAAGTTTAGTGTCGTTGCTGTTACTAAACGTAGTGTAAAGGTTAGTGTCGTTGCTGTTACTAAACGTAGTGTAAAGTTTAGTGTCGTTGTTGTTACTAAACGTAGTGAAAGGTTAGTGGCGTTGCTGTTATTAAACGTAGTGAAAGTTTAGTGCCGTTTCTGTTACTAAACGTAGTGTAAAGTTTAGTGTCGTTGCTGTTACTAAACGTAGTGAAAGGTTAGTGCCGTTTCTGTTACTAAACGTAGTGTAAAGTTTAGTGGCGTTGCTGTTACTAAACGTAGTGAAAGTTTAGTGGCGTTGCTGTTACTAAACGTAGTGAAAGGTTAGTGTCGTTGCTGTTACTAAACGTAGTGAAAGTTTAGTGGCGTTGCTGTTACTAAACGTAGTGAAAGGTTAGTGGCGTTGCTGTTACTAAACGTAGTGTAAAGTTTATTGTCGTTGCTGTTACTAAACGTAGTGTAAAGTTTAGTGGCGTTGCTGTTACTAAACGTAGTGAAAGGTTAGTGTCGTTGCTGTTACTAAACGTAGTGTAAAGTTTAGTGTCGTTGCTGTTACTAAACGTAGTGTAAAGTTTAGTGTCGTTGCTGTTATTAAACGTAGTGAAAGTTTAGTGGCGTTGCTGTTACTAAACGTAGTGAAAGTTTAGTGGCGTTGCTGTTACTAAACGTAGTGAAAGGTTAGTGTCGTTGCTGTTACTAAACGTAGTGTAAAGTTTAGTGTCGTTGCTGTTACTAAACGTAGTGTAAAGTTTAGTGTCGTTGCTGTTACTAAACGTAGTGTAAAGTTTAGTGTCGTTGCTGTTACTAAACGTAGTGTAAAGTTTAGTGGCGTTGCTGTTATTAAACGTAGTGAAAGTTTATTGTCGTTGCTGTTACTAAACGTAGTGTAAAGTTTAGTGGCGTTGCTGTTACTAAACGTAGTGAAAGTTTATTGTCGTTGCTGTTACTAAACGTAGTGTAAAGTTTAGTGTCGTTGCTGTTACTAAACGTAGTGTAAAGTTTAGTGTCGTTGCTGTTACTAAACGTAGTGTAAAGTTTAGTGTCGTTGCTGTTACTAAACGTAGTGTAAAGTTTAGTGGCGTTGCTGTTATTAAACGTAGTGAAAGTTTATTGTCGTTGCTGTTACTAAACGTAGTGTAAAGTTTAGTGGCGTTGCTGTTACTAAACGTAGTGTAAAGTTTAGTGTCGTTGCTGTTACTAAACGTAGTGAAAGTTTAGTGTCGTTGCTGTTACTAAACGTAGTGTAAAGTTTAGTGGCGTTGCTGTTACTAAACGTAGTGTAAAGTTTAGTGTCGTTGCTGTTATTAAACGTAGTGTAAAGTTTAGTGTCGTTGCTGTTATTAAACGTAGTGTAAAGTTCAGTGTCGTTGCTGTTACTAAACGTAGTGTAAAGTTTAGTGTCGTTGTTGTTACTAAACGTAGTGTAAAGTTCACTGTCGTTGCTCGTAGTGTAAAGTTTAGTGTCGTTGCTGTTACTAAACGTAGTGTAAAGTTTATTGTCGTTGCTGTTACTAAACGTAGTGTAAAGTTATTTTGTAAGTACAAAATGTGATTCAACAATTTCAGTGAATTTGTAATTACGAAACGCCGTGAAAACATGAAAACATTCGAGACAATACACTTTGGAAAGGGGAAATTCTACCTTTACGAGTTACGTTTACGTTCACCTGGGATCACAGCCAAGTTATGTAACAACGTTAGTGAGAAGTAAAGTGTAAATGAAATTATACCAGAGTGACATAGATGGTGTCGTGAATACTTCTTTTGTAACTAAATCAACTGACAGTTATTATGACTCTATTATAACTTCTAGACCTTGCACAATTCATTGTCAAAGCAAACAAATCTCACGGTCGGTGGAGGTTAATATTCACACGGGATTAGTAACGATGTTTATAGCTGTATATTTTACCCTACATCCGATTCCCGATAGCTAACTGTAAACACAATATACAGCCCATTGTACATCTGGCACTCCATATCGCTATGTATCTGATACCCATTAACCTCTTATAGTTATATAAACCTGATGTACTTATCGCTATAAAGCTGATCCTGCTAAAATTTCACGGAAGTTTAAGCTGTAATTGCTCTTTTTGCTATTGCTAAGCATAGCTAAAAATACCCGATATAGCATAGCTTTGATCCGATACTCACTAAACCACAAAATACTCGATATAGCATTGCTTTGATCCGATACTCGCTAAACCACAAAATACTCGATATAGCATAGCTTTGATCCGATACTCGCTAAACCACAAAATACTCGATATAGCATAGCTTTGATCCGATACTCGCTAAACCACAAAATACTCGATATAGCATAGCTTTGATCCGATACTCGCTAAACCACTGTGTATTCGTTATAGCCAATATGTATCCAATGTTTAACTAATGTTTGTACATGTTTGCTATTTACATCAAGGAAGACACAAAATCAAAGCAAAAGGAAAATTTTTGAAAATGACAAAAACACAATCACTTGTTTTGGTGGAGGGAAATCCAATTGATCACGTTTTATAGAAAGGGCGTGAGGCTGTGAAGTTCGAAGTAAATAGGCTATTTTTTGTAAACATAACTTAACAAGGATAAACATGTTAAATAATTATCACCGGGGCCAATAGGAAGAAGAGTTTTATCACGTTTAGCATCACGGTAAGGTATAGCATCACGCTTAACATCACGCATAGCATCACGATTAGCATCACGTTTAATATCACGATAGTTGGTATTCATTTCATACCGTGACTGTGGTAGTGCAAAACTTAACTTCTTGTGCCAAAAAAGTTGACATAAAAAGTTGTTGTTGACAATTTGAAAAAGGTCCAAAAAGGCCTGACGGTGTAATGAGCCAACAGGAAGTGCGGCTATGTCACGTGTTTTGATTGTAAGATATTTTTTGAAAGGTTTAAAGTCTGAGATGAAGAAAAATAACAATTTGTAGCTATATTTGCTAACAGTGATACGTCACGTGACCCAGAGTGCTGTGTTTAGTGCCAGATCAAAGTTCTATGTTTTTCGCTTTCAGAAATATATCAACAGTTAGTATATTTCTTGTTATTTTAAGGATATGATAAACAAAATTACGTCGGGCAGTGTCATTTCTATATAATATTCACAGCATTGTCGCGCATTGGTTTGATAGTCACTACTTATAGTCTATAAAAATATAATCGATGTCAAAACCTATCAAATTACGACACTAAAATATCAAAAAGAGGAGAGCAAACCAGGAAGTTTGGTTTTTACATTTTATATTTTAATATTAAATTTGTCAACATAGATCGTTTTTATTCATTCAATGGAATACAATCAACATATACAGATCAGTTATTTCAGAGTAGAACAAATCGGAAGCGCAGTTGCATCACGTGATAGTGTATCAATTTTGTGTATCGTTATATAATGATAAGATAGTGTGTTATAGAATCCAGAATTTGTTTAAGAGATGCCTCATTCTATTCCGAGTAAAACGTAGAAATGATTATAGGCAACGACCAATGTTTAAACACTAACAGCATAGCTCAGTCGTAGAACATCATTTTGTCGTTTTTGTTACATGAGAATCAATTTTTATCATGGCCGCCGCAAAAACCACGCAGCATATTGGAATATTATATTTAAAGGAAGGCGCAGAGTGGGCGCAGTATCTCAGCTCGCAATTTCTCAAAGACAAGAGGCTGGAATTGGAAGTAGTGCTTTTGGATTTAGGGCGGGAAAATACTGAAGCAGACGTGACTAGTGTGACGTCATCGTGCTATGTGACGATTCTGCTCATGACGCCTGATATTATGGGATGGATGACAAACATTCAGAATCTAGATATTTATCTAAAAGTTATACCTCAACACCGTGGAATAGTGGCAATTTCAGCTTTCATTGACGACAGTGAGTATTCAGATATTCAAAAAGTGTGCTCTACGTCATCAAGATGGACGCCAATGACCTTGACCGAAACGGTTCCTGAAAATATCAAAATGGTTGCTGAAATTATAGATCTAGTCGAAGAAGTTGAAAAAGCTGAAAAACAAAAGCTTCCTCCGATGCCAAAGAAAAGGTCTACGTTTGAAAAAGCTAAAATTCCAGAAGATTCAGAATCCCCGACTAAAATTTCCGCTCCGGAGGTCCGAGATATATTTCCGTCCAAGGTGTTTACTGTAAGTTTAGATTGAGTTTTTTTATTCTCTGCCAAGTACAGGGTGAAATAAACGATACTATTGTGTTGATAAAGTATTATATTATGATATCAAAAACATATTTACTCAGTAATACAATGATAAATATCGATTTGAAAATATATCAAATAGGCCTACTAAATTAAAAACTAAAAATTAAAAAGGACAGTACAAGGTCAAATTGAAATCTAAAAATACATCTGATATTTGAATTGAAAATTGAATTGAAAAAAATTAAATGAATTGAAAAGTATATTATTCAAATGATTTTACTTGATTTGAAACAAACTGTAGAACAAAAGTAAATCTTCGTAGAATCAAGATGGAAACTCTTTTACGAGCTCTCCTGTTCGGAGAGTGTGCTTAAATCTAAAACCTCCAAAACTGACTGTCCTGATGAGGATTGTTTATTTTAAACATGTGTCGGCAGATTATCTCTAGTCACTAAGCAAACGTTAGGTCCTGTATTCGAACACGCTGTCCTGATGAGGATTGAGTATCTGAAACACCACATGTCGGGAGTAAAAGATAAACTTTATGCTGTATATTTTACAGGCACGAGAAAAGGTTGTTATAGTATTTAAAGAACCGGTTAATGGAACCGTACATGTTTCGTTTAAAGATACCAACAGTGAAAAACATGATACAAAAAAACTGAATCCTTACTGTTTTAGATTCCGTACACCAGGTATATTTCTTTCTATATTATGTATAAAGATTTACATTTACTATGTATAACTTCGTTCTTTACTTGATATTCGTTCTTAATTTGTCTTGATCAGGTCCTTACTGGAGCACTTTAAAAAGGCTTAAAAATCAGAATGATGTAAGGATGTCCGAGTTAAACATAAAACACTAGAAAACCTCTTTTAAAGATTGGTTTTCTTATCTTTTAGTGTCAAATTGAGCAAACTATTTGATTAATTGGTGTTTCTAATGAATTATCAAGTCATTATGTTCTTATTGCATATAAGAAAGAGTTTTAACCAATCATAAATGTCTATATATGTACAGTCTGGATAAACAAAAAAATTTTTGACCTTTCTTGCTCGGTCACTCATCTGGTAATTCTGTTCTAATTTAGCTAATTATGAATAAATTATGGACAAGTGAGATAAACTGGTTAAGTCATTAGAACACCTCTACTTTCAATTCATATAAATATTAGCATTTTCATTTTGGTAAATAAAAATAAGCGAAGCCATCTTTAATCTCTGCTATTATTTCAGATCCTCTTCCCACTAGTAACATGTTGGCGATCTATCTTGATGGGAAGAAAATCGCCTCCAAACATCTCACCTTCGTCAAGCCGACTCAATCAGCTCTACAGTGTATCGGATACTTGATGCAGACTCTAGGAGTTGAGACACCCGAGGAACTCGACCAGCGCCTCTGTGATATTTTTGAAAGGAGTTTACCACGTGATAATGTTCTGAATAAATTATTTTGTAATGAAGAAGTCCAGTTGATTTTAGGTAAGAAGGTTTTTATGATCTGTTCACCAGACGACCACGATCTAACAAGTTTCTTTCTTATCACACCTCAAATCCATAGAACAGTTCTTATATTCTCGACCAATTAGATTCTTTGATACAAAATATTGCGCGAAAGTAATTTTGTAGAAGTCGCCATTTTTTAGTTTCTATGCCGTCTGTTCCAATCCTTAATCTTTATTTAACAAGTCCCTTTATTATCATCAAGTTTGATTGGTCGTTTATTCTCGACCAATGAGATTCTTTGATACAAAATATTACGCAATGGTAATTCTCATGCTGTGCCCATTGCTTAACTTGTGAAGGGTGTACAGGATGAACAGTATACCAACTACAATGGAAGTTTTTACTGGTCAAATGGCAAACTAAACTATATATCAAATCCAATAAACTATCAGATTCTTTGGCACATTTACACAATGGAATTTACATGCTTTGTTGGTAATTTTTCAGATAACAATGTTAAACATATGAACGATTTTCCAACTTTGCTTCATTTCTCCGCTGCTCATGGTTTATCCGATTTCACCTCCATGTTACTAGAACTGCCGGGCTCCATGGCAGTATTTAATATTATAAACCAAAGAAACCAAAACCCGGCTGAAATGGCAGCTGCCAATCAACACCACGATTTAGCTCGCTATATTACAGACTTTACTGTAAGTAAAAACTTGTATTCATTAATTCATTCTTTAAAAATACAAATTTTTCAAAGTCTTCTCGATACACGGAATCGTCTTCGTCTGCATCGTCAGCATCTTTGTTGTATCATCAGTAGTGAAACTTTATCATCATCATCGTCATCAGTGTCCTCATCGCCATCATCGCCATCATCGTCATCTTCATCGTCATGTTCATGTTCATGTTCATGTTCATCTTCATCGCCATCGCCATCGCCATCATCATCATCATCATCGTCCTGATTGTCATTGCCATCATCGTCCTGATTGTCATCGTCATCGTCATCGATATTATCATCATTATCATCATCGCAATCATCGCCATCGTCATTGATATCATCACCATTGTCATTCTCATCGTCATCGACTTTTTTTCCGCATCGTCTTTATCGTCATCGTCATTGTCTTTTTTTTAAAAAATATTACTGTTATTTGACTTATTCTAGGATACCCATGCGATTATAGACGCTTGTGGAATTTATGTCAGTATGGCTGGACTTGATGGTGATACAAATTGTTCTGAATCGGACGGTAAGAATATTATAACAAGATTTTCTGTCCTTTTATTGAAGCTGTTTTTGTGATGGCTCCAGTGGGGGTACAGAGGGTGGATATACCCCCTTCAACAAATTTTTTAAAAATTTTATACGTTTTTGCCCAAATTATGTGTCAATATGCACCAAATCAATTCAATTTTTCGAATGTTTTTTTTAGGAGAACCATATTAGAAGCTGCATGAGAGCCTCACAACTATTATGCCTTTACGTAGTTCAGCCCGTGTCTCTACTGAAATATGACTAGTAGAGATCTTCAGAAAACTGATCAGAAGCAGAAATTTTCAATATGTTTAGATTGTGCTGTATAAATGAGAAATGTGCCATATTAATGATATAAGTAATTATGAATTTGTTTTTATTTTGAAGAGAACTATATAGATATGAGAGGGCTTCGCAGATCAACTTCTTCAGAAGATTTATACTGTAGATCAAAAGATGACTTACTTGAACCAGAGAATGAGAAATCAGAAGCAGAAGAACCTCCTCCGCCACTACCGCCCGCCCGATACGTCCCCAACCTACCTCCCATCCCCCCTCAACACCGGAAACATAGTTTAGACTTCACAAATGGTAATTTTATCTTTTCAAACATAATTATATCAAATATATTTTACTGGCTAGGTGGACCCTCCTTAAGGCGCCAGTGAAAAGCCCTTTCAAATAGCATACTCGGTTAGATCAAATAGCGGCTGTGAGTTCAATTCTCGATCGGCGTCTAATGACCTTCAATAAGTCTTCACTCTTCACTCATAATTCAAGTCGACCCAGCTGTAAATGTGTTCGGATAATCCGGGAAAGTTCAATGCCTAGAGTTTTGGCTAAAGATCAGCTGGTAGAAAGGATCCTTTACTGTGAACCTAATTTGTTATCCTTGTAAAATATAGTTGTTTCTTTCTTTCTTTCTAGCAACACCTGCCAACAATTTTCCCGCGACGGTTCTGTTTTATATCTTATTCTAATGATTGCTAAAATTCTAAATTTATATTGTTTCATTTATTCGTATATTTTGTATGTTAAGCTCCACCAGCAGTCACAAGAGCTCCATTAACTGTCTCGCCAACTCCAACCCGACCAAAAGATTTGAATAGTCCACAAGCTATATGGTTTCAAAATCCCACGTCATTTCTTGAATTCACACATCAAAGTAAGTTCTTGTTTTAACACATTTTTGGTTGATCCCGGAGGTTACGGTACCGTGGGTTCGAATCGATTATTACTAATCCTAGTGGGTTAGGCGCTCGCGTGCTAACTCGAAGGTCCAGGGTTCAATCCCATTCAAGATAATACCTTTAGATTTTTCAACCCGGTTTCCCCCTGTCAGTGATGCAGGTGAGAGCGGTTGACATGGAAAAAGCGTCTAGTCTAGTTTGGAAGGGACAATAAACCGAAACCCTGTGTGCTACAGGCTGTGCACGTTAAAGATCCCTCGATAGTTGGAAATTGAAAAAGAGCGGGTTAATGCTGCAGTCCCGTCAAAATTTCCCTTAATGCACACTGCATGCCGTTGCCCGTCTTAATTATCCCACTGAGTTCGTTTCATTTCATTGATCAATAGGTGATTATGCACGGTGGGTTCGAATCTTTTTGACAAGATGAATTTTGTTTACCAATTCTATAACTTGATCTATTCTCGATCTTTCAACTAAACATTTCTTCCTGCTTTGAAAAATATATTCAAATGTCAAATGTCAAGGGTCAGAAGTGCAATAAATAAATACACGAATAACACGATCTCGGTACGGGAAGTAGATTTTAAATGTTTATAATTTTGAATAGTTTCCAAATTACGATTGGGAAGTTAACTAGCATTTATAATATTTCTATTTGACATTACAACTGTGTCAAATTCCAATCTCGTTGACAACAACTATTTTTAGTTTAGTTTTTAATTTACATTAAAGATGGGTTCCCTTATTTTTATTTATGAAAATACATATGCTAATACGTATATAAATAGAAAGTAGAGGTAATCTAATGACTAGGAAAAATACCAGTTTGTCTCACATATTGATTAATAATTAGCTAAATTAGAGGAGAATTACCAGTAGAATTCCAATGAGTGTCAGTGAGGTCGAAAAGTATTTTTTTGTTCATCCAGACTGTACTTACATGGATATTTATGATTGGTTAATACTCTGAATTATATGCAATAAGAACATAATGATATGATTAAGAATACATGATAATTCATTAGAAACACAAATTAATCAAATAGTTTGTTTAATTTGACACTAAAATGATGAGGAAACCTATCTTTAAATGAAATTCATAACAGGCTTCATTTATTTTCGAAAACTTAACTGAATTAAAACCAATCAGATTTATAAGATACAGAAATCAGATGAGAATTAATTTCAAATCGATTTGAGTTATTAACCAATCAAATGAATCGAACACTAAAATCATCTCGAGTTTTCGAAGCTGGTCGTGGTATACGTCGGTGGTTCATGAAATTTAAAAAAAAACACGTCTGTAGGTTTTGACGTCGCTCTTGCAAAAATCATATTTAATGACGTCCTGACCTGGTCACGTTCGTCTGGAGTTGCAAGAGCAGCTGACCTAGAGCGAGGGTGTTTGCTCCACTGGCTGCACAACCAAAGTAGTTTTGAAAACATTGGTTGTTTTTCAGGAAAATTGTCTCCCAGTGCGATGGGCAGTTCGGCTCAGCAAGATTTAATAGATATACAGACCCTTGTTAAAACCAAAGAATATACGGTAGATGAAGCCGTTCAGATTTTTAACTCATGGAGAGATCGGCCATCATCACAATCATTTAAAGACCGCAAGGTATTTTATTTCAGATTATTATACCTAAATACCATTTCCTCATACCAGACCCTGCTTTTGTAGCCCATAGGCAGCGGTGTTTCTACGTGGGGAGTAGGCTAGCCCCACCCCAATCCCCCCACTCCCAGAAAAGAGGCTGGCTATCCTTGCCCCCCCTCTACTTCCAAATATCTTATCATTATTTATAGGGAAAGAAATTACCCTTGAACCTTGGAGTGGTCCGTCTCGTCCCATTCCTTAATGATTCTTAAAAAGGTCGCTGCCCGTAGGCTTGGGTATATTAAGGGGATAGCCCTGTCCTCCAGTCAACGGCTAGGGTATATTAAGGGGATAGCCCTGTCCTCCAGTCAACGGTCTATAGGTGTGTAATAAATATACCAAATAACAAAACCTTCATACCATTAGCTATGTGGACTCTCTAAAAGGGATGACACAATCAAATAGGCCTTCCATGTAATTATTTGTAGCTTTTTTTTAATCATTTAAGAAAAATTTAGAAGATCTGAAATCCAAGGCATCCATGGTTACCCCCCAACATGAAAAAAGTTTGTTTAGAAGATTGATTTCATTCAGAACGAAACGGCAGGAGAAGAAGGTCCCCAGTTCACCATTGGCGGTAAGTTACCCCCCTTTAAAAGGTTCCCCGTATTGTTATCTAGGAGAGGCAGTAACGCAGTCGGTTGGAGCATGGAGCTTTAATATTATATTTTAATACTCAAAATTCATCCTAGGTCACCTGATATCTGTTGGTTTCTTGGAGCCTTGCCCGGGCCTCGCCTCGAACAGAAAATTCTCAACCCCCTCCCCCTCATGAATTTTATAGATACACCCCTGCATACAATGTTATATACAAATTGTTGTATATGTTTTTAGCGTGACCAAGATGATACGTATTTAAGAAGTGACGGTAAGTCGCTTCATCATTATTTTTATATTTTTATATTCTATATATGGTTGCTATGATATTTGGTATTGTAGGTACCTCAATATGAAACCTACACTATACCTAACCAGTTTATATCTCAACCTTCCAGTCTCCATAGAGTTAGTAGTCTTAGTATCAGTAGTAAGTTTTATTTTTATTTTACCTTTAGTTTCTTTTGCAATTTTTTATTTTGAATGAGCTCCAACTAAGCTTTTAATTCAGTTATGTATTCTATTTTAAAGATTTTTAAAACATTAATTTCGTTTTTATAATTTTTTTTTTCTACAATCTTAAATCGACAGGCACATCATCCGTTCCTCGAATCGTACCTTAGTCTCAGAAACGGGAATTTTTTAGCTAATCAGTAATAGTGCTCACAGCTCACAGTCCAAATTTGTGCCTTTTGTATATATAATAGAAACAGAAAGCGAAATTCCTAGTTTGAGTTATTTTTGAGGTATAGGTAGGTAGATGACAAGTTAACGTTCGCTGATACCAGACTAGGTAGTTGTTGGTAGATGACAAGTTAACGTTCGCTTCCAGTGGATGCTGATATCAGACTAGGTAGTTGTTGGTAGATGACAAGTTAACGTCCGCTTCCAGCGGATGATGATATCGCTAACTATTTTTGAAGGAATCGTGTGATTTTCTGGTACTTCTAAAGACTTTTACGCTTAGATCAAAATCAACCCCCCAAAAATGGCGAACAATAAGACAGGTGTACCGAGTGCCTAGTTCATCAACATGTCAATATAATAAAATATATCTTGCCTCACCCCTCTTACTTCTCCACATAGAATGAACTTCTTACGCTCTTGCCCTAAGACTATCCCTCACCCCACTAAGAACTTCTAACACAGTATCAAAAAAGGGCCATGGCGTTGTTAAAGCCTGAAATTTTGGTTTTGTTGATTTACATGCGAAAACAGGTGACTTATTTCTATTATAAAGGTTGAAAAGCGAATAGATATTTAGATTACTGCATCTTTTGATGAATTTTGATATTTCAGGTTCATCAAGTGGTACGTCTAGAGAAAGTGGTGTTAGTTTAAAAGAGATAGTAGAAGTGCACAGTTCGGACAGTGAGGTATAGACTATACTTCTATTTTATATTTTCTATGAAATTGTACTAACATTGTCTGTTTTTAAAATGTTCAGGGTATATAATATTAAGAAACTACATTTCGTTCTTACATAACATACACCAACTCAGTTGACCGACATTCAAATCACTACGCCAGACAAAATCGGTCGAATTTTTTGGAAAGGCCACAAAACGTCGAAGTAGATGTTCAGATCACATGGAATTTCTATGGGGGGGGGGGGATTTTACACAATGATAGAATGACCTGTGCCTCCTCCTCCATCCCCCTGGAAAACTTTGTGGCCCTTGCCGTGCCCCCTCATATGATGTTTCCTAGAAACGACATGATGATACTGAGTCTAATTTATACGTTGACCACTCACTGGCCATTTATCCAAGTATCAGGGTGGCCAATGTTTGACAGACTTTCCCGGATCTCCTGTCACATTACACCCAGCTTTATCTTGTTGATAATAATCTTTGATATCAAGTTATATTAGGTAGACCAGTTATTTTATAAGATTATGTCATTGTTTTCATCATAATCATCTTACACTAGATTTTTATATTATTTGAAAATCTGATTGATTTATAGGGAGTTGTAGTAGTAAGCTTACAAAAGCCTGAAGAGTAAGTCTATAACATCCCCCTCTTCCTTCCTCTTAAAAACATACAGAAACACCTATGCGCCAACGAAATCAGGCCACGTATTCTCGAAACGATTTTAGAAATTTTAGGTTGTAACATTGCGGTTAAGCAATGTTACGAAAGCACAGACACAGGCATGTAGGCGTAACCTCTAGTGATAGAGCAATGTTTGTGAAGTTAGTTTAAAAGAATGATATAGAATATTTGAAATGCAAATCCATTATCTTCCGAGTCTGAAATATATAAGAAGAATATTGGTTCCAACAGGATCATTAATAACCATGGAAATCATAATAAACATTTTCACTGGTGAAACTGAGGAATTGTCCTATGCTAGGATATCCTAGAATCAATGTAAGATGATAAGAATCTAAGACAACCTAGCTCTAAGATCGTTTCCAGAATACGCTGCCTGGTTATCTAAGATACCGGTAGATTACGCTTGCTGCTGAAAATCCAGTCGCTTACAAATCCTCGCAGTCCAATAACACTTCACATAGTACAATCAACAAGTTTTTACCTCAAATACTGAAATATTATAGATATATTAAATATACAGTGTGGCCAATCAATATCATATCTATAAATACAAACAGAAATCAAGAAACGTTTCCAATATACTTTTGAATATGATTTTTAAACTTTTGATGTCGATTGTCGGTACGGTTTTTAATCTAAAAAAGATGCATTTTGCAGCCAACAGACCTTTTTCCTGATGCCTCGATCAAGAACATGAAATTTAAAATAAATTTGTTCTGTCTTCAGGATGAGGAACGACCGGCCCTACCCCCCAGGCGGAAAAGATCCAACTCAAACGTCACTCCGGTAAGTCGTTAACAATGTTAAGGTTCATATCTATTTATGGTCTTATCCTACAGCCAGTAGTGTATTGTTTTTAGTTCTGCTGTTCAGGGGCCTTATTCTCCAAAACTTAACAAATATAAAATCTTGATTTTATGAAATATAGTAATCTGATTGGATAATAAAACTAAATTTAAAATTAATTCTAGTAATTGACTAAAATCAAGTTAAGTTTTCGATAATAAGGACCCTGATAATCTGGACTGATCGAAGTGTATACAAATCGATTTGTCTTCGAATTCGTTTTATTGATTTGAACAAAAGTATTATTTTCGTTTTCTAGGACAAAAGGAAGTCAAAGAAGGATATGTTTTTAGAACGAAGTGTTGATGAGGAGGAACTTGAATTACCTTCGTTGCCTCCCAGACGATACCAGAAATCAACGTCGTCTTCTCAATCACCACCCCAACTTCCTAAACCTCGGGGTGCTCGTTGATTATTTTGATCATGTGACCTAGCTATAAACTTCCAAAACCTCGTGGTAGACGTTGATTCGTCAAATTTGATCATGTGACCTAACTGTGAACTTCCAAAACCTCGAGTACTCGTTGAACCATCGGATTGATTTAATCATGGCTTTTGGTTGTACACAAGGATGCATTAGTTGAAAACTTGCAAAACCCAGGACGTGAATTATAGTATGGAATGCTTTAGAATACCCCAGGGAAATCTCTAAAATTGAAATTTTGATTTAAAGGGGCTGAAAAGTGCTTTTCTTAACTTCTAATGCGTATTAGAGAAACTGATAGCATCGATAAAATAGACAGATGCGAACCGCAAAATAAAACTCGAAATCCAAAACAATAGTAAGACTATATATATTATGTGTTGGTTGAAACAATCGAAATGTTCAAATGTGCCGTTATATCAATCATTGCGAAACAGAATTCGCCAAGAGTTGGATTGTTCACCCACCAACAGGGACCGTGAGCTTTGTTTAGACCATCGTGAGACAGGTTTTTTTCCCAGTTGAGATAATAATATAATATATTATACACCATTTACACCTCAACAGTTGTTGTGTTGGGTTGATAAAAATGGGTATAGATTTATCTTTGCCGAATCTGACGACTGACATTGGCCGACTGTATGTTTTGGGTAAAGGAACACAGATAGTGTCAAGTGTTTTACACCAATTGGATATCATTATATAATTAATGACAATTTTAATTGAATCAAGCTTAAATTCGGATCAAAATGATTTTATTCATGAACCGATTAAACATATTACATTAAGTTTTGTTTTGTTGCTGTTCCGTATAATTATATCACCTTGCATGTTAGTACAATCATATCGGTTCGATATGCACGATATTCTGATGTTCTATATGCTTTGATGTTCCATGTGCTTTGATGTTCTATATGCTTTGATGCTATCCTGTTCATACTGTTCTATAGATGTTCTGGTGTTCTATATGCTTATTTATTGTTTCGATGTTCAGCGTTTTGAACTTGCTCTGTTTTTATTTTGATGTTCTGTGTGTTCCTATGCTCTGTTATTGCTCTCATGTTCTGAATACTTGTAATTTATTTAATGTTTTGATATTCTGTGTGTTCTCATGCTCTGTCGTTGTTTTGATGTTCTGTGTGATAATCTAATTGTTTCTGATTTTCTGTTATGATTGTTTTTCTAATGTTCATCCATTAGACTTTTTTAATAAATATCGTGTTGTTGTTTTGAAACGCTTTTTGATTACCAACTAGATACACAAATCACCGCCATTTTCCCTGGTTCCGCATCATGACCACCCAGCCAATGGTTTTGTGTGTTCATATTTGCAAAACAAATTCGAAAATTGTCTTCATGCAAAATCACGTGAGTATTTACTAACTCGGTCTCAAATATGAGACTTACATGGTAAATTGAAACAACTGAAGTTTCTGCTTATAAAAAAATCCCCAAAAACATAAAACAATATAACTCAATAAGATATATATATTCAAAATGTCATAATCTGCTAATTTAAAAAGATAAACATTCACTCAAACATTCAGACACTAATAATATAAAACAACATATATATATATATATATCCAGAAATAAAACATTCAGAGGTCATTAATACCTATTTACAATTCTTACATTCTTACAAAAACTAAAACTCTACGTTTATTTGCTCTGGGTTATTTCACCCAATAAGATTCAGATCTACATATTTCATTTCGATTATTTTCTGGGTATAATTGTACTCTAAAAAATTCTGGTTTTCTGGCCCAGGAGATGACTGTCGAAAGTACCTGAATAGGGCTGAGATCGGTTGGTTTAGGTACAGCAACTTTCACATCCAGGGACAAGTGATGGCCAGTTACAGGAACTTATAGATTGGTCCCATGCTAATCCGCTGACACACAATTGAGAATAAGCCTGTCCATTGTTACATTGATAAAACTTGGTACAGTCGAAAGGATTTGGTCCAAATCCACTCGCATCACAGCTTGGTACAACTGAAAATTACAAGAATAAGAATTATACATGAGGCATCGTATCAGGTGTCCTGAAGTCATTTTCTTGTTTATGTCAAACGAGCTGATAGAAAGGATCCTCGTGAACTTTTGATGTCATCGCAGTTCTTAATTGGTGAGGTCGATAATTCTAATTCGAGAATACGAAAATTGAACGGAGATTAATTTCCCAAAGTTATGCCTCATATTGAACTATATCAATACTCAAAGGATACTTAAATTAAACAAGCTGTAGCTGCTTCGTAAAGGCAACCAACGGAGCAACTAAACACTATGTACAAATCAAAACTTAGGAGGTACTATCCAGCCATTGCCTTGGGCCCAGATCAAGCAAGAAACTTGTCACACAACAAAGGTCTACAAAAACATGTTTCTCATACTTACACGAACTAGGGTCGCCTGGAGTGGATTTCTTAACGGATTGGGTCGTCACCTCTTGGAATATATCACCGGAAGTAGGTGGCTTTGTTGGTGGAGTACTTCCTCTAAAACCGTCAATGATGGTGTTTAACAGAGGATATTGGCCCAATCCACAAGCTGTCCCGGTGAAATCGTCCATGTCCAAGGACCAGACGAACGCTCCAGCTAATCCTTGTGACTTCACAAACTCGATCTGAAAGAAAATGGTTCTGAAATTTCAAATCAAGGAGGACATGGTACTGGCACCAACATTGTACTTTGCCCTTCCCAGATCTTTGGACTTTTAGAGATTTGATGGTTATGCTTTCGAGTAAAAACATCTAGAAGTGCTTAACATCGGAATGTCGAAGGTAATTAATGCTGAAAACGGAACCCCGTGTTCTTTCATATCTTACCTTTTCAGTAAAGCTTCGTGGTGTATCATAACCGACCCAATTCCATATACCGTTTAACATACCATATACATAGGGTACTTTCTGTTCTTCCATCCACTTCGATACCCAGCCATTCGACTTAATTAACGTACAGATCTGAAACAGAACAGTATTTTAATGTTGGTGAGAGGGAGTTGGGCTGTGAAGGGTCGCATCGTTATGCTTGGCATATAACAAAATACCTATCTCATCGTACGATTAGCTAACAAGTTAAATACTTCCAATGTGTCATAAATTGTCAACAGTAAAGGCTCCCATCATTTGAAATTTGTTTAAAATCGTACGTACACCCGGGAAAAAAGATTAAGTTAATATTTTAAAGTGTTTGAAATTTGATTTTATGGGTATTGTGCAGCCAGATAACGAGAATAAGTTAATACTTTAAACTTGGTCATTTTTTAAATCAGTTGACATTAAGAAAATTATTAAATGTATATATATTTAAATGCAAAATATATGCTGTTACTATGCCGTGGTCAGTAAAACTGAAAGTAGTGTAGCAAACTTCACAAATTAAGCTGTCCAGCTAAATCATGATATTCTGTTGGGTTATAAGTATGATCTGACCTCTGAATAAGACAAGAATCCGGACTGTTGGAGTCCCGGGCCAGCACTCCCGACCCCCAGCTGTTTGACGCCCGGTGCGGATTGACTACCACTGCCAATCTTGAAGCCTCGTCCATAGTTAGATAGACCCAACACAATCTTACTGGCAGGGAAACCATTGTCAGTCCAATACTTGATAGATCGTTTCTGAAATAGAATTAAGATTACTAGAATGTGTTAACGGTTTGGTGGGTGGGAGAAAGAAAAGCTACTCGTGGATTACTAGGACGGCTAGAGAAGAGGGGGGGGGGGGGGGGGGGGTGGGGGGGTGGTTTTTTACATTTCTCAAGAATACAGACCTAGGATGGTCCTGATACTTCATCACCTTAACCGAACTTAATCTGGGTTAGTAGTACTGTACTGTACTGTAGTACAGCTAAGAAGGTTAGAAGGATGCCATGTCAGCCCTCTAATAGTTCGTAATGGGGTGCCTGACAGGCTTCTTGATCGGTAGTATAATATCAGCGGTATATTCTGATATGTCCGTCTATTTTACAGACTTTGAAGCAACCTTGTAGTCCATGTATAAACCCTTCTCTATGCTTATGGTCAGGATGGGGCTTCGTGGAATGCAAGGGGTGTCTAAGACAATAAGTAAATAGTCCATGAGGTCGACAACCCTTGATGCATTGTGGTTTCAGTTGAGTTTCAGACAGATCAAAATAACTCTTACCATATCCCAATCCGTACTGAAAGTAGTTGCTGGTTTCAGGGCACTGTGATGCTGTACGGTGGCCAGCCAGGTACCGGCTAAATCATACGTCATCACGTTCAGGAAATCTAAATATCTATAAATAGAAACAAAATACAATATGATATTACGTCATGACGTAAAGAAAATCTACATATTCATAGAAAGTGAATGAATTCAACGATAAACTTCTTCAATGTACCAAGTAGTTTCTGAACAGTGCTATCTTTAACCCCACAGATGAACCAATGGACAAAGTATGATGTAAAACTTCATTTTATTTCCATGCAGGGGCTGAGGCGTCGAATATATTTCTCGAAAATGGTATAGCTGGGAGAGCATACTTAGGTATTTGAGTGGGGACCATGGAAACCAAGTGCTCTGGGGATCCAGAGTTGCACAATCCTGTTTAAATTGACCTTGAAAATGAAAATTTATACTTTAGAGCAATATTTTACTGCTAACCTTACCTGTGGATGATGCTATGTTCGTAAGCTCTGTTAGCGAAGTACGGACTGGGAGATACCGCGGCTATTAAATCTAATGATGGTCGGCCAGTTTTCTCACTTTCCTTGGTGAATTCTTCTCGAATTATCTGAAACATGAAAGGGAAGTCTCATTTCATTGATATATTTTATACAAAATAACTAAAACAACTCGTCAGGCTCGCTCAAGATATCAGTTGCTATTTTCTGTTTATGGCAGTAAATTGGGAAAACAATTCCAGCTTTGAAAGCAGCAACCAACTTACAGCTCTTCGGAAGTTTCATCACTCAGGAAGATACAATTCAAATTTCAACATCTAACATATATATAACTTACAATTATAGCATCCTCTACACGAATTTTGCATTTTGTTAAAGATAACACGATTATTTGGTATGTATTTTACCATTTTGTGTGTAAAATACTCACCCTAAGGAAGGAAGTAAACCGTTGTTTATGGGCAGCAACTGACCCTCGTTCACCAGCCCCAGGGTATTCCCAATCCACATCAAAACCATCAAATCCTTCAGTTCGTAATAACGAAATCATATTAGTAGCGAATTGGCGTATTCGGGAGTCTTTTTCTACGATATAACCAAAGTTGGAGCTGCCTTCGTTCCAACCACCGGCCACAAGATAAACCTTTAGTTTCGGATTCTGTGATTTAAGGGCAATAACTCGTCCCCACATTTCTGAAAAATAGAAAAACACGAACATTTTGAAGAGTTGAAAACCATCCTCTCGGTATCCCGTATCGCATTCTGCTGCAGTAGCAATAGCTTGTAGCTACTATCAAATATGCTTTGATAGCTATGCAGGCTCTCTAAAAGAGGTACCCCATTGTCCATTAACTAAAACATCATGGACCTATAACGTATTAATCGATATGAAACGACCGCCATATTCCCTAGGTAACAAGACCAATGACGTCATAAGTCTATGGGCACTCTACCTTGCTACAGCTTTATGTCTCCTCAAAAACTGATTTGCAACACCTATAGTGCAACAAAGATCGAGTTACAAGTCCATACCTTTGTCGTTCGCTTCATAAGGTCCGATGTTCAGTCCTTTACCATCTAGTCTAGAGAAAGCGTAGAAGATATGGGTACAGATTGTCGGGTCGATATCTTCAGGTAGAAATTTATATGAGCCACTTCGATACTGGGCCCAGTTGGTATAGTAACACCCTCGAATATACTCCTCTGTAATAGAATATAATAATTTTACAATTTTAGTTATTGAATACCTCCCTAAAAGAGAATCATGGATTTCACGCCATCTATCAAAAATTTGCCTGTAAGTAACATTATTTGAAATACAGGCATCAAAACTACTTTCGTTTTGTTTATATCGTTAGGTTTGTAAAATTCTTCATTGTAAATGTAACATAAAGCAGGTAAATTGGACTTTAAAGTGACGTATAATTACCACTAGCTGGTGACTTCTTCTTTGATGTAACTGCAGTAGTTGGTGACGTAGTTGGTGACGTTGATGGTGACGTTGTTGGTGAAATCAAAGCCTGTGACACTGCGTTCAGTAACGGGTATTTGCCTAGACCACAAGCCGATCCGGTAAAATCGTCATTATCCAAAGACCAGATAGAAACTCCGGCTAAATTTGATCCGGTAACAATTTCCAACTGAAAAGATATAAAAGACGATCAGTCGAACATTCTGACCACAGACAACCACTGTCATTATATCGAGCATAAGATACATTCCGATAATAAAGTGAAATTCATTATAGTGTTATATCTGCGGAACACAATATAAAAACAGAAGAACGGCGGCATGTCCATCAACAACCCTTATCTGAAACTACGCCAGTTGAAAATCGAAAAAAGAGCCGGCTTATGTTGTGATTGTTTTGACAATAACCACTAAACTAAAAAAATAAAAATAAAATAAAAATATGAAAAATATACGATACCTTTTTATCAAAACTTTGGGGAGTATTGTACCCGATCCAAAGTTTAGATTTTCCCTTCTGACCAGAAACATACTGTATCTTCTTGTCATCGTCCCATTTTGATGTCCAGCTATTGGTGGTGATAGCTTCACAAACCTACATAATTAATGAAACATTTTAAACCTATATATAGAATCAACGAAAAACATCACCATTTACATCTTGTCCAGAGACAAAGTTTAGATAACATTGTAAGAATGAAATAAACTAATTACTTTTATAACATCCATTAGCCAAACACAGAAATTAACGTTTTCTTCTGTTGGATTCCTCTTCAACATCACTGCGCAATACTGCCCGGTGTTCATAGCACGGTGTTTTAAGCTTACCAAGAGGCAAGGATATTTTTGACTGAAAAATCTGAGATAACCCAGAAACTTCGTCAATGGGTTTCTGGTAATTTTTGATTGGCATCTCCACAAATCCATCAGCTAGGGTCAAAAACCAATGTCCATGCTTACCTCATAATAGGGTATAAATCCAGCTTTAAGATTGACAGGTGAGACTCCACCCATTCCAAGATCTTGACTTCCAGAAACTTCTGTTAGTTCAAATTTCTCGCCATATGTAGATAATCCTAGTAAGATCTTATTGGCGGGAAATCCTTTATTCATCCAATAGGACACGGCCGCCTTCTGAATAACAAAAATATATATTGTGAATAACTATAGAAATATTTCATCATTCTAACCAAAACGATCTGCCATGACAGTTCCTCTGGTGCTCTGTAACAGATTCTGCTGTACGGAAACTACCGAGGATTGCCGAATGTATTCTACCCAGTTGAAGAAAAACATGGTTTGGAAATTACAAGATGGAACATTAGTGGCAGGGGCTCCACTAGATGAGTGGGGGGCTGTGGATTTAAGTGGGTTAGGGCCCTCCCCCTGAGAAATTTTAACACATGCCCTCATGCAATTGTTTTCCCTATGGTTTGTTGAGCCATTGATTTGAAGTGAACATTGGTAGAAAACAGAAATACGACAAAAGATGAATTTACTCACCTGCGTCCAGTCAGAATTGAAACCAATATTAGGTATAGAAGAGTCATCTTGTAGAATATGGGGGATCCAGTTTCCACTGATATCATACGTCATTACGTTTATATAATCAACATATCTACATGATAAAATAATCATATTAGATTCTCATTCAAAGAGTTTTTTAAAATTAAAGAATACATATGTGTGCCGAACAATAGTGTAGCGAGGGTTTCATTGACGAGGCTCATCCGAGCGACCTGTTGTCCCTTTTGCGGATTGTAGAGGACACGGTAAAAACATCACTGGTGTTGAAGATTGGTTTTCCCGTCTTTCCATTTCCTTTAGTTTAAGTCTCTTAAAATTTTTTAATGTATTTAGTAATTAGATTCCTACGTAATATATTCCTGAAAGTTCGTTCCGGAGTTGATTTCAAGCCCTTCCCAAGTTTTCACAATCCAGTATTGAAATTATAAATATAAGGTGTTTTTGTAAACATTGGAACAGAAGTTATATCTTCTATTTAAAACTCAATGCATAATAATTACAGATTGTTTACTTCTTCCGGTCTATTTAACCTACTTCCGGTACAAAGACATTACTGAGTATATTGAAATATTGTAGTTATTCTGAAAGTTTATCACTACACTGTTTATGAAATGAATGTAACCCCATTCAGAAGCAATGCTGAAAAGTGTCCCCCGTTGTCCACTGATTATCGTAGCCTGATTTCATCCTGTCAACAGAAATGAAGAACTGCAGAAAAGTAAGCTGTAAAATTCCATTGCATGTATATTCTTAAGATTTGAATGTTTGACATTTCAAAGCTTATGATTTGTAAGTCTGAAGTACTTACTGTTGTATCGAGGCATGGTCGTAAGCTTTGTCTGCGTAATCCGGACTGGACGCAACAGTAGCTGTAAGACCCAGTGGTGCTCTATTAGTCGCTGTACCTTCTGCAGCAAACTTGGTTTTCAAAATCTAAAAATAGAACAATATCATCTATAGATCTTGAAGCCTTCAATACTCTGGAACTTACTGACTCTATAGATAGATATTAAGCCCCAGCCGATGGGGATGTCAGACGTAGGGTTGGTTTTACTTGAAGGGTGGGAGTATAGCTTGATGAACTGGTGTTGTTATAAATTCAATTTTAGGATCCAGAAACAGATCATCGTCACTTAATTTCAGCGATAGAATCAATCTAGATTAATCGAAAATAAAACATAGTTTAAAACGTCGTCAAAACAAGGTTGCATTGACACAAGTATTTCTCTCGGGTTTCTAAAACTTCAGGAATGGCTGAGCTGCTGATTTTCTCTGATTTTCTCTGATTTTTTCTGATTTTTTTTCAGAATTTCAGAAATAGAACATCATCACTTACTTTCAGGAGTGTAGTAAACCTGGATTTATCAGAAGCCGGTGATGGAGAGAGGCCGGGATAGAACCAGGCAACATCCAATCCATCAAGACCATTGCTTCTCAACGTTGTTATAACGTTATCAGCGAACTGGGTGATTTTACCGTCAGATGACGCCACGGATGAGAAGTCAGAACTTCCGGTTTGCCATCCGCCAATCGAAAGATAGAGCTTCAGTGATGGGTCGTTTGATTTCAGAGCCACCAATCGTGAGAATATTTCTGAAATTTATATAATCATTGTAACTTGTTGTCAGTGATCCTAGAGCACGAACTTATTTTGAAAAGAGGGTGTTGGTTCCCTGGACGAGTAATGCTGTGATCTCATTGCTACCTACAGACTCCTAGATAAAATTCATCTTCTGGAATTTTATTGATTGCCGAAAAAGCATTTTCTCCCAACCTCTGCCAATTAACTTAGTTTTCTTCTATCAATACAACAGAATAGTGTTTTCTTTTTTTTCTTTCTGGACCTTTCACACCCCCTAAAATTTGTTTCATCCGCATTTTCAGCATGTGATGATGTGAGGTGTGCTCTCAATTCAAAATAGATTCTTCTCCTACACCAGTTTGCCACACCCCTGACACTCTAGTCCCACACCCCCAGGGGGTGAAAACATCCCAGGTTGAGAACCAGGGTTCTAGCAGAAGACAATGAAACTAGCCAAGGGATTGAATAATAGTTTCAGAAAACACCAAAATGATCCAGGACAGCTAAACAACTCAATTGTTACTTTCAGTCCGCAGTCATCACGAGGGGAGATAATCTATGCTAATTTTGTGTAAGCGGCGGGTAATTGAAATATTCAGAAAGACCAACAATATCTACTTAATTAAGTTTTATTTTTATTATATGGACTTTGACTGATTGCAATTTTTGAGTAGATGTCGATTTTCTGCTGTGATAAAACATTAAAACACTTACCTATGTCGTTGGCCTCTGTTCCTTTTATCTCAAGGGAAGAAGTGTTGATGCCATCATAAGCTATGAAGATATGTGTACACAGTCCGGGGTTGATATTTTCTGGTAGAAAAGCAGGTGATTTATGTTGGGACCAGTTGGTATAGTAACATCCTCGAATATACTCTGAGGCAACTAGCGGCCCTGAAACTAGAACTATCTCGATTTTTATGGTGGGCTGTAACTCAATTGGTTAGAGTGTTGTAAAAAATATCATTTTAAATTCACAACTTTGAGAATTCAACTTTTTTTTTCAAATTCTAAAAACGTGTTTTGTTTGAGCTTATTTTCTAGTACCTGTTTCTGGAAAACCGCAACAAAGATCCAGGTCAAGATCTTGGAGATCTAAAATTGATGTTTGCAATAGAACCGTTTCAGGGGACAATCCATTTTTTTAAACGGAAAGGGGGGAGGGGGGGGTGCCTTTGTCCCCCTGTAGCCACGGGCCTGGTTAGCAATTGACCAATCCGATGACTGGAATACTGACTTGACATGATAAGAAAAAGAGCTGAAAATAATAAACTTACAGATAACTAAACCGACTAGAAATTCCAGTCTCGTCATTTCTGAAACAGAATTAAATAAACAGGAATTAAATATTTTGCCACAGATGTTGGGAAGAATTTGGAATGGTACAAAAAGACGCTAATGCCGCTGTCCTGGCAAAATTTCCCTCATTGCACCCTGCATGGCGTTGCCCGTCTTCATTAGCCCACATGGTGGAGAAAAGTAGGACGTAAAACTCCATTCATTTCATTTTAATGCTGAGGATATTTCTGACCAGCAGTGCTTTCTATAAGAGAGTCTCTTCTAATACTTCTACCTAGACCAAGACAGTGTATTCTATTACAATAAATAAAACCAAACAGTGTTAGAAATGAATTTAAATTGTAGAAAAGCAGCTGTCTTACCTGTCTGTGTACCCTGAACACAATCCACGATTCTGACCCACTCCGATATCTATCACCCTCACTACTGAATGAAGTGTTGTCCAAATTCTTAAAATCAATTTAAACTGTATCATTTCGATCAGGTCTCGGTTAATATGAGTAATGTACTGTTTATCTAAGAGATAAGTTTATAATATATAATTGAATAGGGGGACAATTAGACCTGGTCCGTTACCCCCCGGGCGGTATTGGTACTTATTGTCCTAACTCATGTTTATAACGCTGTACCCGTAATCAGCTTTACACTTTAATTACTGTTATGTATTGGGGTAGAAGAGGGGGTGGGACCCTGGGGGAGCTCGGGAATTGGGCGGTGACGGATGCCATGTTACTGAGTGTTACCTAGAAAATGATAGTTATGTAACAAGACTGACACTAGTAAAGATTTTCTGTCCGTGGCAACTAAAGTCGACAGTTGTCTGTCAGAAGGTCTTCATTTTCTGTTTATTCGATATTCAAGTTTATCAGCCCGACATCTCTTTCAGAGAGTTCACATAGCTTATGATATTTATTTGAGTTAACGTTTATAAGTGTCACATACTTGTCAATTTAATCAAAATAAGATACCAATTTCGATTCTTTTTACAGATATTTTTCTTCTGCATTTTGATATAACTCTATCAAAGTCCCGTTCTAATGACATTATTTTCAACCTATCATAGCGTGTCATGTAGAACCATGTTTCTTGATAACATAATGAATTGTGGGATATAGAAACCGAAAGAGACCGTCATAGCTCTACTTTGGGTTTCGCTTTCTAACAATTCCTTCAAAGATTCTGAAACGTTTCACAAACATTGTGGTTGTTATATTGGTTATTTGAAAAGACTGAAAAATTGTTATTGCACAAAACTTGCATCTTGCACCTCAATCAAGGATCTAGTTGTGGTCTATAGTATGATGTTATCTCCCTTGATACAAATTGACCATTTCAACCCTATCGTAGATAAAGTATATGTGAACTATATTGTACTTACTAACTTTGATATAATCTTCTCTTCTTTGATGTTTTGCCTCTAGACATATTTCTTGATTTGGTTCGCAGCACTATTTAAGTTAATTGGTTTATTACCATTTGAAGATCCACACAGTTAAACCATGCCATACAACAGTGGAGAGTAAAGACCCATATCTGCATGGAGTTCCAGAAATACACCCGAGATCAGCAAAATTAACGTTTGATATTCCTCAGAAGTTATGTTCTTAGTTATCGGGTTAAACCACATTGGCTGATTGACAACTCAGTTCCATGGTAGGATCAACGAACGCTAAATATTCCTTCTGAAAATACCAATTAAAGTAAATATTTAGACGACTATACAGGTAGCTGAAATTGAGCTTTATCAGCTGGTAAAGTAAATATTTAGATGACTATACAGGTAGCTAAAATTGAGTTCTATCAGCTGGTATAGTAAATATTTAGATGACTATACAGATAGCTGAAATTGAGCTCTATCAGCTTGTAAAGTAAATATTTAGACGACTATACAGATAGCTGAAATTGAGCTCTCTCAGCTGGTAAAGTAAATATTTAGACGACTATACAGGTAGCTAAAATTGAGTTCTATCAGCTGGTATAGTAAATATTTAGATGACTATACAGGTAGCTAAAATTGAGCTCTATCAGCTTGTAAAGTAAATATTTAGATGACTATACAGATAGCTGAAATTGAGCTCTATCAGCTGGTAAAGTAAATATTTAGACAACTATACAGATAACTGAAATTGAGCTCTCTCAGCTGGTAAAGTAAATATTTAGACCACTATGCAAATAGCTGAAATTGAGCTCTATCAGCTGGTAAAGTAAATATTTAGACAACTACATAGATAGCTGAAATTGAACTCTATCAGCTGGTAAAGTAAATATTTAGATGACTATACAGATAACTGAAATTGGGCTCTATCAGCTGGTAAAGTAAATATTTAGATGACTACATAGATAGCTGAAATTGAGTTCTATCAGCTGGTAAAGTAAATATTTAGATGACTATACAGATAACTGAAATTGGGCTCTATCAGCTGGTAAAGTAAATATTTAGATGACTATACAGATAGCTGAAATTGAGCTCTATCAGCTGGTAAAGTAAATATTTAGATGACTATACAGATAGCTGAAATTGAGCTCTATCAGCTGGTAAAGTAAATATTTTGATGACTATACAGATAGCTGAAATTGAGCTCTCTCAGCTGGTAAAGTAAATATTTAGATGACTATGCAGATAGCTAAAATTGGGCTCTATCAGCTGGTAAAGTAAATATTTAGATGACTATTCAGATAGCTGAAATTGAACTCTATCAGCTGGTAAATTAAATATTTAGATGACTATACAGATAACTGAAATTGGGCTCTATCAGCTGGTAAAGTAAATATTTAGACGACTATACAGATAGCTGAAATTGAGCTCTATCAGCTGGTAAAGTAAATATTTAGATGACTATATAGATAGCTGAAATTGAGTTCTATCAGCTGGTAGAGTAAATATTTAGATAACTATACATATAGCTGAAATTGAGTTCTATCAGCTGGTAGAGTAAATATTTAGATAACTATACAGATAGCTGAAATTGAGCTCTATCAGCTGGTATAGTAAATATTTAGATGACTATTCAGATAGCTGAAATTGAACTCTATCAGCTGGTAAAGTAAATATTTAGATGACTATACAGATAACTGAAATTGGGCTCTATCAGCTGGTAAAGTAAATATTTAGATGACTATATAGATAGCTGAAATTGAGTTCTATCAGCTGGTATAGTAAATATTTAGATGACTATACAGATAGCTGAAATAGAGTTCTATCAGCTGGTATAGTAAATATTTAGATGACTATACAGATAGCTGACATTGAGCTCTATCAGTTGGTAAAGTAAATATTTAGACTACTATACAGATAGCTGAAATTGGGCTCTATCAGCTGGTAAAGTAAATATTTAAATGACTATACAGATAACTGAAATTGGGCTCTATCAGCTGGTAAAGTAAATATTTAGATGACTATACAGATAGCTGAAATTGAGCTCTATCAGCTGGTAAAGTAAATATTTAGATGACTATACAGATAGCTGAAATTGAGCTCTATCAGCTGGTAAAGTAAATATTTTGATGACTATACAGATAGCTGAAATTGAGCTCTCTCAGCTGGTAAAGTAAATATTTTGATGACTATGCAGATAGCTAAAATTGGGCTCTATCAGCTGGTAAAGTAAATATTTAGATGACTATTCAGATAGCTGAAATTGAACTCTATCAGCTGGTAAAGTAAATATTTAGATGACTATACAGATAACTGAAATTGGGCTCTATCAGCTGGTAAAGTAAATATTTAGACGACTATACAGATAGCTGAAATTGAGCTCTATCAGCTGGTAAAGTAAATATTTAGATGACTATATAGATAGCTGAAATTGAGTTCTATCAGCTGGTAGAGTAAATATTTAGATGACTATACAGATAGCTGAAATTGAGTTCTATCAGCTGGTAGAGTAAATATTTAGATGACTATACAGATAGCTGAAATTGAGCTCTATCAGCTGGTATAGTAAATATTTAGATGACTATTCAGATAGCTGAAATTGAACTCTATCAGCTGGTAAAGTAAATATTTAGATGACTATACAGATAACTGAAATTGGGCTCTATCAGCTGGTAAAGTAAATATTTAGATGACTATATAGATAGCTGAAATTGAGTTCTATCAGCTGGTATAGTAAATATTTAGATGACTATACAGATAGCTGAAATAGAGTTCTATCAGCTGGTATAGTAAATATTTAGATGACTATACAGATAGCTGACATTGAGCTCTATCAGTTGGTAAAGTAAATATTTAGACTACTATACAGATAGCTGAAATTGGGCTCTATCAGCTGGTAAAGTAAATATTTAAATGACTATACAGATAACTGAAATTGGGCTCTATCAGCTGGTAAAGTAAATATTTAGATGACTATACAGATAGCTGAAATTGAGCTCTATCAGCTGGTAAAGTAAATATTTAGATGACTATACAGATAGCTGAAATTGAGCTCTATCAGCTGGTAAAGTAAATATTTTGATGACTATACAGATAGCTGAAATTGAGCTCTATCAGCTGGTAAAGTAAATATTTTGATGACTATGCAGATAGCTGAAATTGGGCTCTATCAGCTGGTAAAGTAAATATTTAGATGACTATTCAGATAGCTGAAATTGAGCTCTATCAGCTGGTATAGTAAATATTTAGATGACTATACAGATAACTGAAATTGGGCTCTATCAGCTGGTAAAGTAAATATTTAGATGACTATACAGATAGCTGAAATTGGGCTCTATCAGCTGGTAGAGTAAATATTTAGATGACTATACAGATAGCTGAAATTGAGCTCTATCAGCTGGTATAGTAAATATTTAGATTACTATACAGATAACTGAAATTGAGCTCTATCAGCTGGTAAAGTAAATATTTAGATGACTATACAGATAGCTGAAATTGAGCTCTATCAGCTGGTATAGTAAATATTTAGATGACTATACAGATAGCTGAAATTGAGCTCTATCAGCTGGTATAGTAAATATTTAGATGACTATACAGATAGCTGAAACTGAGCTCTATCAGCTGGTAGAGTAAATATTTAGATGACTTTATCAGGTATTTCGAAAAGCGTAAGCATGCTCTGCTTCGCGCGCAGACGTTTATATGGCTTTAAATTTCTGTACTGTACCTTTTCTATTGTTTTATTGTATTGTTTACTGCTGTATAATAAACTCTGTATTTCTCAATCAGTTGATATTTCGCCTATTATGAATATTTCATCGATTTTACTTATTTTGAAACTGTCCCGACAAGAAACAATCGTTCTTGTTTAGAGCTAGTCAATTCCATAAATTAGTTTTTAGTCTCCTTTTCATTTGCCATAAGAACCTGGCGTTTATTATACGATTATTCAGCAAAGGAATAAAAACTGACGATTTTTAAATAAGAACGCATTATTTATATGTCAAGCTTAGAAATCACATTTGTTTTAACGATTCAAAACTATAATAGTCTAAAATATAGGCAATTACTGAGTGAATCAAGCCCGAGTGTTAAAATAAACCAAACCCGTTATACACAAACCAATCGAGTGACATGTCGTGAATAGAGATTTATACAGGTGTAACGGTACACCTTTTCCCCTCCTTAATTTTACCTGTATGTAGGTCACCACAACCGAGAACGGGGCCGTGGATATAGTGTTATATGTGGTGTATACAACTGTTATTGCCTTGGCGTATAGGTATTATGTATGGTATATAATAGTGATATAGCCGTAGTATATGTATTAGGTATGGTATATAGAAGTGATATTGCTCAGTGTTTATGATATACTCAGGTGTTATAAACCCAGGAAGTTTCATTAGTTACCTGTGGGTGCATGTTCAAAAGTGATTATGATTTAGACCAGTGAACGTGGTTGTTGCTGTTACGAAAACACAAGTCGTGGACGTAAAAACTATCATTACAAAGTGAAAAGCTGTTTGATAAAATGGAGGGAGTAATACTGTCGATTTTCGGTGTTATTGTCACCTTGTCAGGTAAGAATAGTTGATTAATATTCATATCTTAGTAAATACTCAAATAACAATATAACAGTTTCTTAGAAATAGTCTTATATACGACAATATAGTATCGATTTTACTGTTATATCTATTTATTTATTTACTACTATATCTAAACTGTTGTATTCATTATGAATTATTCTCTCTTGTCGTTTCTAAACATTAACTTATCATTGACCTTGTCTTACTAATAGGCCATTTTTACAAGATTATAAATATGTAAAAATTTGAATGTATAGCCTAAAACTTAAGAAAGCTAGGGAGGTGGGTGGGGTTGGGCATCTTAAATACTATTACCCATCAAAAGATAAAATTTGTCCTGAAATAATCCAACAAAGAGAGTGAAGAGGGTGTGGGGGGTGGGGGGGGGGGCAGAGATGTTGGCTGTAAAAACCTTATACAAACCCGTTTTTGGTATAAGACCAATTAAAGATTTGTTTCACAATATCGTCCCAATATGAGTAATGATTCAATTCAATAGTTTGAAAACCTCTTTTTTTATAAATTTATGTGATATATGAAAGTAAATAGGGCGTGGACCAACCTAACCCTTACTTATCTCAACTTGTACAAAACGTCTCGATACGTTCATTGTAGTGAGAGTTTTTTAAACAGGTCATGGCTGGGTCTCTATTCATAAACCCTATTCACCCTCCGGCTAGTGTTTTACGGCTAGTGTTTTATCGGTGTAAAATACGTGAAATTCACATTTCCAAGAAGTAATCAGCAATTGTGTTCACAGCTCACCGTCTAAATTTCAGCCTTCAAATCCATGTGTGTCCAGAATAATCCGTAATTGAAAGTTGAAAAGACGACTGTCTTTTCTGGAAACTCTATCATATATAGAAAAGACATATATAGAAATAGAAAGAGGAAGTACTCTTGGAGTATTTTTGATGGGCTTTTCGTACATTTTTAGTCCTTCTAAAGACTATTTACATATATTCAAGACTAAAATCAATAATCAATAATCAATAATATTCAAAACCGAAAATGGTGAACCTATTCCTGATAGGGACTCTGCCCTCGAGAAAAAGGGTTGGAGAGAATGAAAAAAAAATATGTATTTGTTTTCAAAATGGAGAAATCTTGATACATTATCGACTTGCACATTTCCCCCATCGAATACGACAACCGTCTTCATTAGAACAAAACTATGCAGAAAAATAGACACTAACCCTTCCTCAAATATTTGCATTTATTAGACTCGTTTTTCGTTTACGGATATACTTCCCCGATTTTATCATCTTAGTTTAATGGATGTTCTCAGCTTGATACTCATTTTATGAGTTGTATTAAGTTTTGATATTTTTTTTGTGAGCATTCACATTAAATTGTTGAGCTTGTTCTTTTCATCTTTGATCAAAAATGCAAAGATTCGTGGGATGTAACACTTTAATATTTAATGGGCTTTAAGAATCTACTAACTCTTTTTTGATTTGCGAACTACATGGACATGAAAGACTGTCTGATGGACTATTGTCTATTGGTACGAACGAAAATATCGCCCATTGCAATGGAAGAAAAAGTCTAAAAAGGCACGTGGGTGTAAATATGAAAGGATCAAGTCGACATTGAAATTGTTGTCAGTAATTGTCATATATTTAACAAGTGTATTGTATATATGACAGCCCCAGGGGTAATAATAATACAGACTAGTTATGAATAATGACCTGCCAGTGGGCACTATAAAATTACCCTGCATAATAAACATGTACTTAGATAGCTAATACAGAATGAGGGGGTGGGGAGGGGGGAGGAGAGGACAGATATATAGACAGAAATAGAATGAGGGGTGTTGTGTTTGGCACAGTATTTTCAAGTTTAGACAAACACCTCCAATAAATTGTACATGATATAATTGTAAATTTTGTTGAAGTCTTTGAGGAGGTTTGTAGCTTTGTCGATTAGAATGTTAAGAGCGTTATGACGTCATTGGCTCGATATTGTTTGCAGGTCCATAACGATGAGTTAAAAAGTTTTTACTGGGGTTGTTATCACCTTGGGTTACCGTTTTTGAGAGTCCACATAGCTAATTTGATTATTGTGACTTATATAATTTGTTTATTACTACCCTCAATACATATACTGAAACTAAGTCGGATAATACTATTATTATGTTATATAACTCTTTTATATGAAGGTACAGGATCTGAGTTTACCACTAAAATATAAAATATCTCAAGAATAGCCCCTATTTTACAAAATAAGATAATGCAAATTATTCTAATCCCCCTCTTTCATTACCTAACTAAACATGCTACATATAAATCTGATTAAAAATGCAAATCTAGAATTTTTGTTTCGTTTTTTTTTTCTGGGTTCTACTCCACTTGTCATCCATGATCTGACGAAGATATTATACATTTTCTGTTCGGAGTCATTTGATATTCAACCAATCAACTGCTCTATTCAATAAAAGATTCCTATATACTATATTTGAAAAGTCTGGGATATATGTATTGCTCCATTATCTGCATTAAATGAAAATGCTAATACTTATATGAATAGAAAGTAAATTATGTTATAATGACTTGGAAAAATACCAGTTTGTCTCATAATGGTGGTTTCCAATGAGTGACCGATCAAGAAAGGTCAAAAAGTCTTTTTTCTTGTTTATTAAGGCTGTACATACATACACATTTATGATTGATTAAGAATACATGATAATTCATTAAAAACACCAAATATTCAAATAGTTTGTTTAATTTGAAAAAAAAGAAAAGGAAACCCATCTTTGACAGTGTTTTCGATGGATTAACACTGATATCAGGTGTCCCTTGTCTTGACATTTCTCATTTATTTTATTTGTTTTTGTCGTGAATCAATCAGGGGCAGGATAAACAAACAGAGCGATAGAATAGTACACTGGACAGATATTTTGGTTGTCAACTATGAGACCCCCCCCCCCCCCCCCCCCC